ATTCAAACTTGACGAATCACAGAGGCCCGCGGTTCAGGGTTGACGAATCAGCGAGGCGCGATTCAAACTTGAAGGAATCAGAGCTGGCCAATGACAGCGTGAGAGGGGGGCGTGGCCTACGGGATTTTGAGAACAGTGTTCAACAGTCGCCTCCGGCAACGCTAACTGCTCGAACGTTCTCGAGAACGTATCGTCCTCTCTTCTACATTCAGGCCAACGTGTGAGGGGACGAACGATTGAATAAGAAGAATGTTAAAAATAAGAAGAATGTTAAATCAATAATAGGCACAGAAACGAAGAGAAAATCAAATTACATTTATATCTGTAAGACAGAATGTCTGCTTGTCTGTGTTTGTCTGCCTGAGGTTGGGGGCCAGACGCTTGGGGGGCTAGTCTCACCTAACTTTGCAGGGTGAATGGTCTTGGGTATGGGACAGACATAGGTTGGTCGGGATTGGTGTTATTGACCCTATTAAGAAGGGGTCGGGCATCATATTGACCCCCCCATTCTCCCAATGAAAGGGGACCGAATCCCTAGATTTCTTGATATATAAAAAAACGGAAATGTCTGTCCGAGGTTCGAGGATAGACGGGGAAGAGAAAAGAGGGGGAGATGGGAAGGGAAGGGAGTGTGGGTGAGGGGTGGATAGGGACAGGTGGGAAGGGAGAAAATGGGGGAGATGGGAGAGAAGAGGGGGAAGGAGGGGAGAGAATTAAGGGTGAGGGGAGACAGACTCTCCCTGGCACCGTCGATAACCACTTCTGATTACATTACATTATCAAGGACTTAGCATGGCCTAGTTTGATCAAGGTTAGGCAGTATCGAGGAATAATAGGCCTATTTCTAAGTTAGCTTTGATTAAAGTAACAAAACACAGTCGTAATAGTGTATATACATAGATATACGTAGCATATATGTCGGTCAATGTATACCTTGGGTATGCAATATACATTCATCGTCGACGTGTGAATATATGGCGTACATTATATATTCACACATTTATGCAACCAGGAGAGGAAGGCAGCATCATTATTATTCGCGTAAGTACCGGAGATGAGGTGATGCTGGCGGCCAGCAGAAGAGAGCGTCGTCACTGGTAGACAGAAATTATGTCGCGGGAATCAGAAGAGAAAAGACGCTGCTTGGCAGGAGACACGGGGCAAATTTCATGGACGTTGGTTCGACTTTCACGAGCCTTAGACGGAAAGGAAGATATTTTTTTTGTTTCTATATTCCGATGCACTTCAAAACACTGGAAAAGTACCGTGTGTGTACACCCAACACTGCCGGAGTGTTTGTCCAACCCCCGGGAAGACCTCCGAGGACGTTTACACAGTAAGACTCTAGTGTTTGAAGCCAAGTTAAAAAAAAAGTTAAGACTAGCCCGCCACGGTAGGTGTCCCAGCCCTCCCCCCCTCACACACCCCTGCACCCCGCTCCTCCACCCTACACACACACACACACACACACACACACACACACACACACACACACACACACACACACACACACACACACACACACACACACACACACTCCCTACAAACACATCCCCCCCCCCCACCATTCCACACCAGCACTATGGCGTCTAAGACAAAGTTGGGTAAAACCCACCATCATTGGAGTGCTGATTTTGTTACATTTTTCTTGATACCTTATATATCTTTGACAATACCCACTGAAGGGAAGGGAACTATCAGGGAAACGCGCCATGCCATTACGACTATATAGCCCTGGGATTAAGGGATCAGGATAAGGATTTGGAATGGGACGGGAGGGGGGGGGGAAGGAATGGTGTCCAACCACTTGGCTGAAAGCGAGACATTATAAAACGATGTTATTCCCCGAAAAAAGCTTTGACGAATAAACTGAGCAGCGTTCATGAATCTCCTTAAGTGATTCGTCAAGATTTATAGATTCCTGATCACCGCTGACTTAGAGCAGGGGGTGACGGAGCCCCGGGGTGACGGAGCCCCGGGGTGACGGAGCCCCGTGATCCCAGCCCAGCACGCACACAGTAACAGCAACCATAACTCACCATTTTTACGTTCTGAAAACATTGTTACAATTGAGTTTTGAGTGTGTGTTCTCACCTAGTGGTGCTTGCGGGTGGTGAGATTCGGCTCTTTGGTCCCGCCTCTCAACGGTCAATCAACAGGTGTACAGATTCCTGAGCCTACTGGGCTCTATCATATCTACATTTGAAACTGTGTATGGAGTCAGCCTCCACCACATCACTGCCTAATGCATTCCATCAACTACTCTAACACAAAAATGTTCTTTCTAATGTCTCTGTGGCTCATTTGGGTACTCACTTTCCACCAGAGTCCCCCTTGTGCGTGTGCCCCCGTGTTAAATAAATTGTCGTTGTCTACCCTGTCAATTCCTCCGAGAATCTTGTATGTGGTGATCATGTCTCTCCTAACTCTTCTAGTCTTTCTGGACCTAACTCTTTAGGTCCCGTAGTCTTTCCTCATAGCTCACACCCCTCAACTCGGGTACTAGTCTAGTGACATACTTTTGAACTTTCTCCAATTTAATCTTGTGGTTCATATGTCAACTTTGGCCAACACCGCCACCATAAACCAGTAGGATCTGAACCTGTGCCGGCATAACACTCTGAAGCCACAGTCACGTGACACACTTTGTGCATACCAAATATACTATAAAATTGTATGTTTTACTTTGGTTGTGACAGGATATGTTGTGTTGGGGTGTGTTGTGTTGTGTTGGGTTGAGTTGGGGTGTGTTGTGTTGTGTTGGGTTGAGTTGGGGTGGGTTGAGTTGGGGTGGGTTGAGTTGGGGTGTGTTGTGTTGTGTTGGGTTGAGTTGGGGTGTGTTGTGTTGTGTTGGGTTGAGTTGGGGTGGGTTGAGTTGGGGTGGGTTGAGTTGGGGTGTGTTGTGTTGTGTTGGGTTGAGTTGGGGTGGGTTGAGTTGGATTGTGTTGTGTTGTGTTGTATTTGGTTGGGATGGGTGTACGTCAAGAGCAGGGATGACGTAGTGAACATTTTCTCAAGTCTTAGACCCTACTAACACCTGCTACCGCAGCACCTTGTGGTGATTTCGGGGCTTAACGTCCTGGCGGTCCGGTCCTCGACCAGACCTGGACTGATCAACCAGGTTGTTGGACGCGGCTGATCGCAGCCTGACGTATGAATCACAGCCTGGTTGACCAGGTATCCTTTGGAGGTGCTTATCGGGTTCTCTCTTGAACACTGTGAGGGGTCGGCCAGTTATGCCCCTCATGTGTAGTGGAAGCGTGTTGAACAGTCTCGGGCCTCTGATGTTGATAGTTTTCAGAGAACCTATTGCACCTCTGCTTTTCAACGGGGGTATTCTGCACATCCTGCCATGCCTCCTGGTCTAATGTGGTGTTATTTCTATGTGCACGTTTGGGACCAGCTCCTCTGCTATTTTCCACGTGTAAATTATTATGTATCTCTCCCGCCGGCGCTCAAGAGAATAGAGATTTAGGCATTTTAGTCGGTCTCAATAGTTTAATGTTTAACTGGGTGGACTCGAGCAGTATCAGCACCACCGCGCCAGTCACAGCTGGGCCAGACCTCAGTTCTGACCTTCCATTCCAATCTGAGTCGCCAGAAGAGGTCACATTTCGTCTAGGAATGTTGGGAAGGGTGGACATGTCTGAGACACACCGAGACATCCCTATTGTTATCTCCTTATGTTACCAAGGTGGGCCACCCCCCCCCCCTCGTTGGTTCCTCGTTGTTAGCTCCTTCCAGGCCAGGCCAGGCCAGGCCAGGGCAGGCCAGGGCAGGCCAGGGCAGGCCAGGCCAGGCCAGGCCAGGCCAGGCCAGGGCAGGCCAGGCCAGGCCAGGCCACGCCAGGGCAGGCCAGGCCAGGCCAGGCCACGCCAGGCCAGGGCAGGCCAGGCCAGGCCAGGCCACGCCAGGCCAGGGCAGGAATATCAGGTGAGGTTTCTAGCAGTCATCTTGCCAGCTTGGTCCCTGCCACCATTTAGAATCATTTAAGACTTCTGCTCATTTTTAATTCGTCGCGAACATCATCACTACCACCATCTCCGCCACAACCACCTCATCAACCACAACTTCTCCACTATACCTCTTCCACCACCATCACCCCCAGAACATCCCTGCCGCTACCACCGTACCTTCCCCTAGACTAGAGCAGGTCGTAGACGACCTAGCTACGAGGACAGGGCAAGGGAGCTTAATCAGAATAACCCTAGAGAAGGAACAGAAAAGGATATGATCACTACACACAAGATATCAAAGGGAACGGATAAGATAAATATGGACAGCGTCTATAGTGAGAGAAAGTAAGAGAAGGAGGCGGATACAAGCCGGGAACGCTCACGAACGAATGAAAGGAGCCGTTCGTAGCCCGTCCGAGGGGTCAGCAGAGGAAGAAGACTACGCAGGAAGAGGAAGCCACCGTCACCCGCGAATTTAAAGCCAGATTCGACAAAAAAAGAATTCGTGCGTCGGAACAGTTAAGCCGTAACGTGAGAGAGGTATACAAGGCGAGTGGGCATCAGGGCAAGTGAGCCCAAATCTCGTTTACTCGTAGTCACTGTTGGGTGAACAGTGTAGAGTGAACACCCAACACTGTTCACCACCACCATCCCGGTAGTTGCAGCTGTCACCTGGATCATGTTGACACGCATCTGTGCAGTGTGTGAGTGTGTGAGTGTGTGAGTGTGTGAGTGTGTGGGGGGTGGAGGACCTCCCTCATTGCCTCCCAGGAGGGTACATGTATCATGGTGTGAGATCTTCATTCATGCTCTCTCTCTCTCCCTCTCTCCCTCTCTCTCTCTCCCTCTCTCTCTCCCTCTCTCCCTCTCTCTCTCTCCTCTCTCTCTCTCTCTCTCCTCTCTCTCTCCCTCTCTCTCTCTCTCTCTCTCTCTCCTCTCTCTCTCTCTCTCTCTCTCTCTCTCTCTCTCTCTCTCTCTCTCTCTCTCTCTCTCTCTCTCTCTCTCTCACTCTCTCTCGCTCTCTCATATATTACAAAAATACTGTTATGACCGGAAGGAAGAAGGAAACAAAAACTTAGGATTCGCAGCAAGATAATGGCAGACAGCGACAGATAATGGCAGACAGCGGCAGATAATGGCAGACAGCGGCAGATAATGGCAGACAGCGACAGATAATGGCAGACAGCGGCAGATAATGGCAGACAGCGGCAGATAATGGCAGACAGCGACAGATAATGGCAGACAGCGGCAGATAATGGCAGACAGCGACAGATAATGGCAGACAGCGACAGATAATGGCAGACAGCGGCAGATAATGGCAGACAGCGACAGATAATGGCAGACAGCGACAGATAATGGCAGACAGCGGCAGATAATGGCAGACAGCGGCAGATAATGGCAGACAGCGGCAGATAATGGCAGACAGCGGCAGATAATGGCAGACAGCGACAGATAATGGCAGACAGCGGCAGATAATGGCAGACAGAGACAGATAATGGCAGACAGCGGCAGATAATGGCAGACAGCGGCAGATAATGGCAGACAGCGGCAGATAATGGCAGACAGCGGCAGATAATGGCAGACAGCGGCAGATAATGGCAGACAGCGGCAGATAATGGCAGACAGCGACAGATAATGGCAGACAGCGGCAGATAATGGCAGACAGCGACAGATAATGGCAGACAGCGACAGATAATGGCAGACAGCGGCAGATAATGGCAGACAGCGACAGATAATGGCAGACAGCGACAGATAATGGCAGACAGCGACAGATAATGGCAGACAGCGGCACATAATGGCAGACAGCGGCAGATAATGGCAGACAGCGGCAGATAATGGCAGACAGCGGCAGATAATGGCAGACAGCGGCAGATAATGGCAGACAGCGGCAGATAATGGCAGACAGCGGCAGATAATGGCAGACAGCGGCAGATAATGGCAGACAGCGGCAGATAATGGCAGACAGCGGCAGATAATGGCAGACAGCGGCAGATAATGGCAGACAGCGGCAGATAATGGCAGACAGCGGCAGATAATGGCAGACAGCGGCAGATAATGGCAGACAGCGACAGATAATGGCAGACAGCGACAGATAATGGCAGACAGCGGCAGATAATGGTAATGAACCACGGCAGACATCCCTGTGGTCTCTCAACAGTCCAGCCGTCCAGCTGTTACATATTAAGACGCTGAGACGCAACTCGAAGATGCTGAGGCGAAAGGATTTATCAACAAGAAGTGAAAAGAAACTTAAAATGGAAAAGATGCAACACGACAGTGGCAACAATAGCTCCCTTGTACACAACGTCCCACCTCCTTCACTGGTCTAGAGCGAACGACCCCCAGGAGTCGTGGGTGCTGGAATGAACGACTCTCAGGAGTCGTGTGAGCTGGAGTGTGTACACTCACCTATTTGTACTCACCTATTTGTGTCTGCAGAATCGAGCATTGACTCTTGGATCCCGCCTTTCCAGCCATCGGTTGTTTACAGCAATGACTCCAGTCCTATTTCCTTATCATACCTAGTTTTAAAATTATGAATAGAATTAGCATCCACAACCTGTTCCTTAAGTGCATTCCATTTTTCCACTACTCTCACGCTAAAAGAAAACTTCCTAACATCTCTGTGACTCATCTGAGTTTCCAGCTTCCACCCATGTCCCCTCGTTCTGTTACTATTCCGTGTGAACATTTCGTCTATGTCCACTCTGTCAATCCCTCCTGAGTACTTTATACGTTCCTATCATATCTTCCCCCCCCCCCCCCCGACCGTCGGCCGAGCGGACAGCACCCTGGACTTGTGATCCTGTGGTCCTGGGTTCGATCCCAAGCGCCGGCGAGAAACAATGGGCAGATTTTCTTTCACCCTATGCCCCTGTTACCTAGCAGTAAAATAGGTACCTATGTGTTAGTCAGCTGTCACGGGCTGCTTCCTGGGGGTGGAGGCCTGGTCGAGGACCAGGCCGCGGGGACACTAAAAAGCCCCGAAATCATCTCAAGATAGATAACCTCTCCCTTCTCTTTTCTAGTACCGTAAGACTCAGTTCCTTCAGGCGCTCTTCATACCCCATCCCTCGTAACTTGGGACGAGTCTCGATGCAAACTTCTGAACCTTTTCCAGTTTCCTTATGTGCTTCTTCAGACGTGCGTGTGTGTGTGTACTCACCTATTTGTACTCACCTATTTGTGCTTGCGGGGGTTGAGCTTTGGCTCTTTGGTCCCGCCTCTCAACTGTCAATCAACTGGTGTACAGATTCCTGAGCCTACTGGGCTCTATCATATCTACATTTAAAACTGTGTATGGAGTCAGCCTCCACCACATCACTGCCTAATGCATTCCATCCGTTAACTACTCTGACACTAAAAAAGTTCCTTCTAACGTCTCTGTGGCTCATGTGAGTACTCAGTTTCCACCTGTGTCCCCTTGTTCGCGTCCTACCAGTGTTGAATAGTTTATCCTTGTTTACCCGGTCGATTCCTCTGAGGATTTTGTAGGTTGTGATCATGTCTCCCCTTACTCTTCTGTCTTCCAGTGTCGTAAGGTGCATTTCCCGCAGCCTTTCCTCGTAACTCATGCCTCTTAGTTCTGGGACTAGTCTAGTGGCATACCTTTGGACTTTTTCCAGCTTCGTCTTGTGCTTGACAAGGTACGGGCTCCATGCTGGGGCCGCATACTCCAGGATCGGTCTTACGATGTGTGTGTGTGTGTGTGTGTGTGTGTGTGTGTGTGTGTGTGTGTGTGTGTGTGTGTGTGTGTGTGTGTGTGTGTGTGTGTGTGTGTGTGTGTGCGTGCGTGTGTACGCCGCCACGAACACATCCAGCACAGGTCCCCTCTGCACCTCTTAGCGTCCCAGCCGCCTGACACGTCCCACGTGACCTAGCTCCCCCTCACCCTAGATAACGATAGATAGGTGTCACACCAACATGACAGTCAGACCAGCCGGAGATGGACCAATAGAGAAGGGGCAACAGGGCCTTTCACACGCTGTATATCTCCTCCTGGCACACACCACACCGAGGACCATCTGGCACTGAGGATACTAAGGATCAGCTGGCACCGAGGACCAGCTGGCACCGAGGACCAGCTGGCACCAACGACCCCCGGGGATCTCGGAGTATCGCCTGACGCCAAGCATCCTGCCGGCGACAGGGAACAAGAACTGCCTGGCCTTGTCTGCCCCCAGTGCTCCCAGGGGTCGTGTGTCACCAAGCCACCTTAGCGTCTCATCTCCTCCCTCACCTAGAGAGAGAGAGAGAGAGAGAGAGAGAGAGAGAGAGAGAGAGAGAGAGAGAGAGAGAGAGAGAGAGAGATATCCGTGCTGGGGCACGCTGTGACCAAGCCTTCTTCCTGCTGGGGTGATGAGTAACCTTCCAGCGACCTTCCAGAAGTAGACAAGTGTTGGTGGGTGAAGAAAAAGAAGATGAGGTGTCGAGTACCAGGACGGGAGGATATCGATATCCACGCAGGGATTGGAGAGGTATCGATATCCAGTCAGACTGACCCAGGCGGATGGGAGGTTTGGTAAGGGACCCTTCATGTCCAGGACGTTCCAGAGGCCATCAGCGGGGTAACTCAGTGTCCCCTCCATCATCCTGAGCATTATGGCTCCCCCCACAGCGTGGACGGTGGAAACCCCAGTAAGAGCAGGAAGATCTGGTCACATCGTTGATGAGGAAGAGAAGGCCTGGCCCCACCAAGAGGCCGTAATGACCGAGCACCTTTTGGCCAAGCTACGTTGACTCAACGTTCAATAAACGCCGATAACATTGGCCCAACGACACTCATGTTCCCAGTGGCCACAAGAGCTAAGAATGGCGTTGAGATCAACGTTATCGAAGTAGATGACGTTGAACTGGCGTTGCTCTTGGATATTGTGGCCACTGACGTCTGCCCCAACCCATGGGCTGGACCCTGCGTGCCCCTGCTGCCCTCTCCTGCCATAGTCTAAGTGGAAGGCAGCTCGAGCAGCAGCAGGAGAACAATGGCACGATGAAGATGGCCATAGAAGACTGACGCCAGCGCTTAGCGAATATAATTAGCTGGGAATGTCTAGGAAAAAGAGAAGACGAGACAGGGGGAAGAGGAGGAGGAGGAGGGGGGGAGGGGTCGAGAGTGTAGAATACAATGGCACGTAGGAGATGTAGGAGGGAAGGTTTGAGAACTGTGGAGAAGTGATAGAAGATGGGATGAAGCGGGAGAGGCTGAAGTAAAGATGAAGGGAGGAGGCTAGAATGAAGAGGGATAAATTATGAGAAACAGGAAAAGATGAGAAAATGACAGCGGATCGCAAAATTGGCCGTATTGTCCCGTTTTCTGCTGTGGGTCCTCTGGTAGGTGTCGAAGAGAAGCACCGCTGGCGAGTTTGTCAAGGCAAGTGATTGGAAGTAGAGATCATAACCGCACGAGGAACAACACATTATGATAACAAGTGTGTGTGTGTGTGTGTGTGTGTGTGTGTGTGTGTGTGTGTGTGTGTGTGTGTGTGTGTGTGTGTGTGTGTGTGTGTGTGTGTGTGTGTACATTTATTATGCACCCCATACCCATCCCGTGGGCGGGGCAGGAAAGTGTTACAGAGACATATGAAAAAGAGTTCCGGAAATGAACCCCATAGTTAGTTTAGCCAAGCAATTAACAATCTGATGAAACTAGTCCCACAACTTGTTTTTTAATATGCACATACATGTATGTACATAAAATATACATATATGCAAGAATATATCTGCAACTGAAATATATTTCAGTTGCATATAGTCCTGGGGACCATTCAGGCTTGTTAGCATATGCAAAAATATATATATATATATATGCATATTATATTATATAAAGGCGGGATCCAAGAGCTAAAGGTCGATCTGAAGGCACAAATAGGTGCCTCAGGCTAGAGTCTCACGCGTTCAAATGGCTCCATCCCCCCCCCACCCCCCATCGCCCCCCCCCCTGGCTGTCAGACTTCATGCCACCAGGACCATTCTTGAGTATCCCGTTCACTCAAGTGGAAAGGTCTACCAGTCAAATCACTGACAGGTCGGAGGGGGGGGGGAAGGGGGGTAGTAGTTAAGCGGTCATGGGTGGCAAGAGTTAAGGGGTCAAGGGATAAGAGTTAAGGGGGGTATGGAGGGATGAAAGGGGGGGAGGGTAGGGGCAAGACCTAATAGAGAGAGAGAGAGAGAGACAGGTGGTGTTGACAAGTACCTGGTAATAGGGATGCACGAGTTAAGGGATTCAGGGATAAGGGAGTTAATGGGACATGAAATAAAAACTAGTTGGGATAAGGCTTCGAAACTGTTAGGGATAATGAATAAGGGTTCGAAACTGTCAAGGATAAGGGGCAAAGGTTCGAAACTGTTAGGGGATAAGGGGGTGGGCTGAGGCCGCTGTTGGTTCATGAAGCGGTATATTCCCCCAGAGGAAAATCAACAGAGCGGGAGGACCCGACACGGGTTAGTGGTACGGCGAGTGACAGACAGACACCTTCACTCAAGCTTAGCTTTATGGCCCCCCCCGCCCGCCACTTTTTGGCCACCCCCTTCCCCCTTAACCCCCCTCAACCCCCCTCAACCCCCCTCACACCCGCCACCCTGACATGTTGACATGGCAAGTTGGTTTCTGACCCCGCCGCCCCTCCTCCCTCCCTCCCTCTCTCTCTCTCTCTCTCTCTCTCTCTCTCTCTCTCTCTCTCTCTCTCTCTCTCTCTCTCTCTCTCTCTCTCTCTCCACGTCTTTACTCACCTAAATTGGTTACATTCACACATGCCTCTTGTCAACAACGGATACATGGCCCTGTGGTGGCAAGCAGGTGGCACTCTCCCGTCCGTGATTTCCCCTTCTGGGTGCCACTGGGTGCCAGAGGAGCCGCCCCTGGCGCCGCTATTCACTATAACGAGCACATGTTGAAAATTTCATTAGTGTTCTTGCTGTTATTGTTATGTTATTGCTTGTTTGCTGATGTTCATTGGATTTTATTGATGTTCTTACCGAAGTTGTTCTTGACAATGTTACAGTGGCTGTTCTCGACACACTAACTATTCTTCACAAACAATATTAACACGAACGTTAAGCTTCTTTATTTGATCCAAGACGTTACTAATCTCTGGAAAAAGAATTCCATACCAGCCACAACCTCAACTACCCCTCCCCCC